TTGCAGATGCATTACATAAACCAAAGGGAATTCTTCTGAAAGCAAAAAGATCATAAGGACTTATAAATATTGTCTTTTCTTGATCTTCGGAGTAATATGAATTTGGTGATAACTGATATATCCATCCACAAAATAGAATTATTTGTGACTTGCTAGCCTATCCAACATTTGGTTCATAAAAGGTAGAGGAAAGTGATCTTTCCTAGTGGCAAAATTTTATTTTCTATAGTCAATTCAGATTCACCAACTAGTAACTTATCTTATCGGTATTAATTCATTCTGATCATTTACAACTAAGGTCACTCCCCCTTTCTTAGGAATAAAGTGAATTAGACTAACCCAAGCACTATCCGAAATAAGATAGATGATTACAACATCTAACCATTTTAAAATTTCTTTCTTAACAACCTCTTTCAGCATCGGATTTTGACCTCCTTTGAGGATCAGCTCAAGGCATATGATTTTATTCCATTAAAATTCTATGCATGCAAATCAAATGGTTGATACCTTTGATATCATTTAATGTCCATCCAAAGGCCTTCTTGTAATTTCTTGAAGTTTCCCTTAATTTTTGCTCTTACAGTTGAGTCAAATCTAAGGATATTATAACATGTAATGTAGATGAATTTCCTAGAAAGACATACTTTAAATGCGTAGAAAGTACCTTCATCTCAAGCTCGGGATGTGTTTCAATTGAAAGAACAAGATTCTTACTACTTTCCATAGTATCCAACAGGTCAAAACTTTCTTGAACATAATTTAAATCCTCATTACTTATTTCAATTTATTTATCTTGTAACTTAACATTATGTTAATGCTTCAAATCTTCATGTCAAATTTTGTCTTCATAATTTTCTCTAAAATGGTTGTTACTTAAATAATCACTAATCTCCATTCTGAAACACTCATCATCTCTTCCTTTAGTCGGATGCTTCATTGAATTTAATATATTAAATATAACTTCCTAGTCATTGACTCTCATGGTTAACACATTTTTGTACATCAACAACAAGAAAATGTCTCCCTATAATGCTTGGAAATTCCTTTTCATTATCCATATCTAACACAATGAAATTCAAAGGGAAGATAAATATATCTACCTTTACCAATACATCTTCTACAACTCATTTTAGATAAGTAATCGTACGATCAACTAACTAAAGGGTTACAGTAGTGGGAGAAATCTCTCATAAGTATAACCTCCTGAAAATAGATAGAGGCATAAGGTTAATACTGGCTCCCAAACCACATAAAACTCTCCCAAAAAGATCTCTCTTCTATTGCACATGGAACTTAAGGTGAGCAGTTACATATATATATATGTATATATATATATATATCTTATTTCTTTAATGTAATCACGCAAACAAGAACTTATATATATTAACTACACTACGATTTTTCTAAAATAAGTCTTACAGCTCAAATAAAGTCTTCTACGTTAAAAAGAAATTTTTCTGTTATATCCCCGGCAACGGCGCAAAAACATTGATTGTGGGTGTTTCTGGCAGCCACAACAGTAATATACTTCAGGGTAGTTAATATTACTTTAAGTCTTTTTAGCTGTCACTTCTAGCGATTTAAGATATTATTTAACGATTTCAAATATTTGCTAAGATGCTAACATAAGTATATGTATCACACAAGTAATATAGGGCTCTAATGGAGTCCTAAGTATTGATCCGACAAGGAAGTTTGAAAATCTTATTCGGAAGTTTGAAAATCTTATAATATTAACTCAAAGAAACTCTATCTAAACCGCAAAAAACTGAACTAAGAATGCATGTCAAAATTTGTGTTTTTAAACTAAGTGAATTATATCTACTACTCTTATCTCTAATTTCAAATTAAATGTATAATATCACTAAACTAAGTTTCATGAAGAAGAGTTCAAATTTTAGAAAGTATCCTTCCCCTTGCAATGAGATTATATTCAGTGAAAAATTCAAATTGTTATAAATTATATAGTGTCAAATAGGAGCATACATATTCTTTACACTTTTACAAGTGCATAAAGAACATTGGTTATTCTAGATTTAAGTTCCTGAATCCTTTGTTACGCTGTGAAGATACTAGCTCTCACTGTAGAGTTTCCACCATCCCTCGGCCTGGAGGCTAACATCTAGCCTTAGGTTCTCAACTTTTGGATCAAATTGGACGTTCAAGCCTGTCACTCTAGAATCACCAATTTACGCCAATCAAAACTTATTTCCCTATTTATTTGCACTTAATCACATGAACTAAATTCTCACTCATGAGATCAAATGTGATTCTTACTTGGTTGAGGAAAGCATAGCTCTTTCAGGTCAATATGTTTCACAACATATTTTAACTAAACAATTGAACTTATTGATTAAGTAAATGAAGTTCGAAGTTTGAATCATCACAATCATGAAATTAAAGTACTTCTAAATCATTTCAATTCTTCACATGATTATTTCTCATTAAAGGGAGAAAGACAAAGCAAAATGCTCATATCTCATAAGGAAGATACATCAAATATATATATATATATGTTTATACAATAAGAACAAGTAAAACAAGTAGAGTACAAACTACTTATGTCAATCTCTTGCCCAAGAAAATCCTTTGAAGTTTCTTTGAATCACTTTCTCTCCTTACAATATCACTTAATTCTCGATTAGAAATGTAATGAAGAAGAAATCTCTCACTTCTCCTCTCCTCTTACAACTCTAAGAGACTATCTTCTCTTCCACTCTTCATCACTTACTATCCTCTTCTCCTCCTTTTTTCCGCCACTTTTTCTATAATTAAATCACTATTATATAGTATAGGGCTAAATTTCCAAGACTCACCTCTGGTACTCTTTCAAAATTCATCTAAATTCAATGAATTTGGGAGAAGATCGTTTATGGCGCCTAGACACCATCCTTTCTGTAAACTTACGCTTAGGCACCAGACAAACTCTTTCAAATCGTCTCTTTTTTACTCCAAATTCCTTTCTTTTTGCTTCTTTTAGCTTCAATTGTCCCAATTTATTGTACTTGCAATAAAAACATAAAAATATCTTCTATTAAAGCATAATATCACTAAAAATATGTATTAAATGTGTATATAAAAGCAACATATTTTTAGACATGTCACCCCCCGTCGGGGGACGTGTTGGCTTACAGAAGTTTGTAAGCTGACGAGACCATGGATGTAGTGGTATGGAGGGCACTACACTGGCACCGCATCTAGTTCCAACTACCAAACCAGTTCCTCCACCCATCACCACCTTGACACCAATACCACGACTAGCCATGATATCACCACCACGACTAGCCATGATATCATTGCCCACCACTCGCAGCCACGACACCACCATAGCCACCAACCGCGGCCATGACACCACCATAGCCACCAACCGCGACCATGACACCACCAACACCGTCAGCATTGGTTGTTATTGATGCACCATCAAGTTTGAGCAACACGAGCAGTCGTCATTAGCTCAGGGCAGTGAGGAGCACGTAAGTTTTAATTTAATGTCGACAATACTTTCTTTTATTTTTTTTATTTAATATAAACTAATTACATGTTACTTTCAGATTTACTCTCTCTACATAGGTCATCCATTACATCAGAGATATAATTCATATTAAGTACGATCACTAGTACTTATCCTGGAAGGAGACCCTAATCACAGTTTGGGATATATGATTTCATGAGTTTAAGGTAAACCTCAAACAAAGTAATTACATTTATGTATTTATTTATATGAATCTAACAATTTATAATTCAAATTACAAAAGCAATGGTTTAGGTTCCTCGAGGAGGAGGCACACATCCGCAGAAAGTTCAGCATAAGGCGAGACCAATTCAGTGATATATGTTAAACATGTGACCCCCTTTATGGCTGGAAGAGAATGTGTTTGTCGCACTACTCAAACTTTTAACTGTGGGGGCATGAAGGCCTCAAAGCACACCTGTGAGCCTCCCACATATGGAGTACAAGTGGAGGCTGGTAAGATTTTGTTGCGTTAAATCCTATTTTATATTAAATATATGCTAATTATTCCATTACACTGACAGACACTGGAGAAAGAACAAGAGCCAACTACTGCAAATTTACACTAGCGCACCCATAGGCAGCAGTCAGATCAGTCTTGAGTGGGTAGCTGATTACAGGTGACCCAGTTAATTCAAAAGATTAGTAAGTATAAAATTCAAATAAATATCAAAATTTATTTAATCTCTCACTTTTATTAATCATTTGTTTTATAGGAGACTATCCTGAGGCTCAAGGAGAGAATCTCGGCAATCGGCCTGTGGTTCAGCTACATCTCATGATCCTTCTGAGTACGACCTCTGGTGACAGTTTACTAACAGAACCGCGATACGTTTCTGCTGTAAATGCAATACTTTTCCTACATATGTTTTCGTCAGTTATAAAACTGATGGTCAAACTACGATTAAACATGACATTTTTTTTATCTATAGCGACGGTTATGATGTGTCGGTTAACTATTAGTTTTATAAATTGTATTAAATATGTCGGTAATTTAATTACCGACAAACGTTTTGTTACATCAACTTTGTCATAGCTAAACTGTCGATACATATATTACCTATATTTTATTGATTATTATTGATAATGTTTGTAATCAATAATAGACTAAATTATTGTAGTCTATGGGCGCAATGAAATTAATTTTGGATCTTTATTTGCTTCCAAAAAAAATTTCCTTGGCTCTAAAATTAGTATTGTTTTACTTAATTTTTGACTTTATCTAATTTTTATTTATTTTAGAACAAACACATTAATAAAACAAAATTTTAAGCAATTTTTTTATTAAACCATAACATTAAAAAAGCTAAGAACTTACTTTCTTTACAAAACATAGCTCGAAAGTTGATTTTCTCAATAATCATTAAATCATAAAATTATAATGAGCGATATTATTTTCTTCCTGATTAGTGACTCATACATTTGAATAAATAAACCAAAAATAAGAAAATATGTCATCAAACTTGTTTGGTTCTTATCGGTTTTTATCCGTTTTAAATTTGGAAGATTGTCTAAAGCAGTCAAAAACCCCATCAACCCTTCCCCCGTGCAGTTCGCCAGTGAGAACCATTCCCCAACCTGACTTGTCGCCGGCCACCGACCACAACGCCACCCTTCCTCATAAACCACTGCCACCACCTCACCTTTTTCGGTGGCCTCCGTCTCTCAACCTTCTTCCTCCGTCTACGCCCCATCAACCATAAATGACGAAAAAACCACTCCATCATCACACGCAAGTTATTCCTATGCAGTTTCCCCTGTTCCTCGCCACTTCCTTTCCTGGCATGAAGAAACCCCTTCAAGTACTTCCATAGAGTCCTCTCATGATCTTTCCAGGCCCCGCCATTGCCTTTTTCATCCTCTCCAGCGTGGAGGTGGTGGTGGTGGTGGTGATGGAAGATTATGGCTAATTTATTTGACAACTTCTTAAACCTCCCCTGCTGTTCCTCCGCCTCCGGCTTTGACTCATGACGGGTTCTTGCTGGCCGGCAGGGTGCTGGCTTCCGTCGAGACACGACCAGATTGTGAGGAATTGGGAGCTTTGGAGAAGTTGGTGGCGAAGCTCTTCTTCTTTCCCTTGTATTTTCTCTGCAATGCATTCTAGGAATCAACATGTGGGGTCGGCTGGACATGTTCCTGACAGAATTGGAACGGGAAGTTGAAGCCGTTGAGGAGGAGGAGTACCTCCCTGTCTTCGAACTTTTTGGCAGAGCAAGTTTGCTCGGCTTATGGCCCCGCCTTTTGGTCTCCTTGCACTGATCATTCTTTCGAACAACCAAAGTCGATTGTGAGCGGAGGGAAAGTTCACGGCCTCTCGATCTTTGTGACATTCGGTTTGCCGGCGCTAGATGCGGCGGCGATATTATTTTCTTCCCTGCCTTCATTCTATTCTGCTTTCTCAGAGCCAACGGGATGGATCCTGTTGAGAAGGATTGAGTCGACTCTTTTGATGATGAAGAGGATTTCATGACCTTCTTAGTTTGTTTATTGGACGGAACTCCTGTTTGCTTTCTCTCTGCAGATTGACCATTGTTTTGAACACTCTGAGCCTTTTGATCTCCAAAAACTACAATACTTCTCGAACTTTGATGCTTTGAACTATGCGTGCGCTGCATGGATCTGATACTGCTTGGCTCAGCCACCGGTTGTTTTCTGCTGGTTCTCTTCTGATGAGTCAGCTCTCGGTCAACCCGATCCGGTTTGTTAGTTCGGCTCGATACTCGGCTTGGAAGATCCACCGGTTCGACCCGGGCGCGCTTTTGGACGGGAACCAGAGTGAGAAGCTCGCCGTCTTTCTCCGAACTCGGTTGACGCTCTGAGCCCCCAATTCTTATTGTTTTAGACTTGTGAAATGAATTCCTCCTGCTTTCTGATTCTGATGGACAGATCAATAAACGACGGTCGGGAGGCATCGAATCGTTGGCGCGACAGCGGTTAAAAGTCGCGTCTTTGGATCGCCGGTCCTTGTGGCGTCTTGGCTCGGATGTATTCGGTTGGGCCGCCGGAATTGATTCCGTTGCTTCCGGCGAATTTACAGGTAGGATGGTGGGTTGGCATTCTCGGTTCTCTTGGGTCTCCCGAACCCCATTTCGGAGGTCATTAATAGAAGGATTTGAGTTATCCCCAGCATGCGATTTTGGCGCTTCAGGCGTGCAGGAAATTATCTACCGGTACAAGTAATGAAAGCAAATTCAGGAAAGAGAGAGAAAGATGAAGGAAAAAATAATAATAATGTTGGAAAAATATTTGTCGGATAAATGAAACATTAGAATGATTCTCACACATTAATGAAAAAGCATTACATGAGAACTTTTGATGTATTCAAAGTTGAACGGTAGAGCACCACGTATTTAAGTGGTTTTTATCGTTTTTAACACTAATCAATGTCAGGACCTACTTGACACGTGATAACTGATCATTAGGCTCTTAATGTAATATTTTCGACAAACTTTTTTCTTTTTTCATAAATCCTGGCATTTGTATCATTGTATACGCAGGTTAACCAGTTTATGTTTGCTACAAGTTCACGATCTCTCGACTGTTTATCTTTTTTTTTTCTTTTTTTTTTTTTGTTGAACGTTTGCTTTTATTCAAAGCATATTTTCATTAAGATTCTCAAGAATTTTTTAGTATGATCTCTTCTCCCTGCTTATAATAACAATAAATATAATTAAAACTCTAACTTGAATTTGAAAATTTTAGTGCTTAAAGAATATCTGACTAATTGATTTGTTTTCCTGTGAATTTTCCTCAACATCAAAACGCATCACAGACGCATGCAAAACGTCCAAGAACGCACCTTTGCTTGAGACTGAAGAGTTTGCTGAGTTGCGCCATCAAGGAGTTTCTTCAAGAGATGCTTCGATTTCTCATCCAATATCTAGAATGATTTACACATCCTAATTTAGCAGATTTAATGAAAGGAGGCAAAATTGTGGAAGCTTACGTGATTAGTGGGCTGATCGGGCCCAACGGGCCTGGCACTGTTACTCTGCAGGAGGCCGTACAGCTTCTTCAAGGCATGGAGTTCAGACACCAATTCATCGAGTTTCAAATCTATAAGATTGCAATATTGCAGCGATTAGTAAATTCAGGAATGCAGAGAAAACAAAGTCGAATTGCTGCTTAACTTCTCACCGTCGTCTACTGGTTTAGATGGAATCGAAGCAGAGGATGCCATTGATTGTTTTGTGGAACGGAACAAAAGGAAGAAAAGGAAGAAAAGCGAAGCTTAGAGAAGTAGCGGTTAGAGATTACCAAAGGATACGTTCCGTTTCGGATTGAGCAAAAGAGGGTTTTGAAAAATTCTCAAGAGAGAAAAACTTGAGGGATTTACATTCATACCTGTAACAAATATTTTAATTACATATTTAGCAAATAAAAATACAGCTTTTAAATTATAACAACTAAAACCTTCTAACAGTGCTTGTCTACCATCCTATTCACTCTAACGGTGCCTAAGAAATAAATATACGCAGCTTCCAGCTTTCGCGACCATCTCGACAACTTGTGAAGCTGCTTATAGGAGTGTAAATGTGTCGAACACGAGCGAGCCCATACTCAACTCGTGTTTGACTCGTTTGTTTAATGAGCCGAACACAAGCTATTCACAAACAAATAGTCATTTTGACAACCCTAATCACGTAGCCATAATATGTTTAAGGTTTGGGCAATATTTAAAAATTATTTTTTGCATTAAAACATCATTTGAATCTAATTTAAAAATTTTTATTCTATTTTCTTAATTAATAATTTTAATTGATAATAAATTTTTGTAACCTTGTAGTCACTAAATTTTTTTAAAACTTCTACTCATATATATATATATATAGAAAGATAGATATAATTGATGAGTAGTATTTCGAGTCAAAACGAGTCGAACACGAACAAACTAATCTTTGTTCTTGTTCGACTCGTTAACTTAACGAACGAGCCAAGCACGAGATTCTTAACGAGCCAAACACAAACTGTTCGCGAACTTCGAGCCGTTTTGACAGCCCTAGATGTTTAGCCGTCCTTTGTTAAAATAAAAAATAAATAATTAAAATAAGAGAAGAAAACAAGGGCATATGAGGACCAGACTGCCACTATGCTGGTGAGACCAAAGGCCAAATTGAGGTCTCTCTCTCTCTCTCTCTCTCTCTAAACTGGACTGTTTAGGGTTGATGCTTAGCTGAGTTCAAGTTACAAAACTTAAAACTCGAATATGATATATTTTTTTTCAATTTGCAATATGTGGAGCTTTAAAGTTAATTTTTTTTTCACTTGTATAAATTGAAAACAATTCTCTTGTTAAGAATTTGTCCCAGAATAATGAAATTTTTATTGTAAGTCTTAAAATTATTAATCTTTTTTTTAAGATAGGTGCAATATAAGATTATTTTTTAATAAATTAAAATAAAATTAATGATTTTAAAATCAAATTTGATCATATAATCATGAAGTAATTTTTTTTTTGTCATTTTCTTATTTGCAGTAATACACACTTGTATCTTTTCATAACAGATTTGGGTTAAATTTGAAAATTTTGGAAGAAAAAATATGATTATAATTTTAATGTTGTCTTATATTATGGTTATTCCCTTAAAATTTCGAATATATCTATCAATTTTCTCTCACTTTATTATTTGGTTTTTGACCATTGTAGGATAAAACGTGGGAGAAGATAGTAAAGACAAGGGCATTAGTAGCAGAAACTAGGGACCACGGCAAGACAGAGTGGCGCCCCGCTTGCCGCGGGGCACGAATCTGGCAGAGCGTGGGATGGAATCCCGTCCCTCTTTCTTGGGAGAGCTTGTTCTTGGGAGAGCGCTTATTCTGTGCGGACACCACATGCAACTATGCTTGCGGTGTCCAATGGAAAGGTGACACGTGGAACTGTGGCCCCCACAACTTAAAAAATAAAATTAAGGCATTCTACGGCGCGACCCGGCCCGAATCCAGCCCGAAACACTTAAAAGTTAAACAGCGCGCCTGAAAAAAGGTGATTTCATCGGAAACTCAAACGTCGCCCGAGCGAGGAGAGCGCAGAGCACCTTCATTCAATCTTCTAGGGTTTTTGAATCAGAAGAACTTAGGGTTTTAGAGTTGCTGTTGGAAACCGAAGAGAGCCCAGTAAGAATGGAGACGGAAGAGCCCTTGAGAATAGAAATCGAGGAGGAATCGATAATGGAGGCCGAGAAACACAAGAAAAAAGAAGCAAAAAAAGCGAAAGAAAAAGGAAATCCAAGAGGGTTCATCCAGGTAATTTTTTTTTGTGATCCTTTTTTTATTGAGAAGACCATTTGGGTAATTTTTAGCTGTATTTGAGTAACAAATCACTCAGAGTAATATATGAGATGTATTTTACTATTTTTGAGTTGTACACAAGTGCACACAATATTACCTTAAAAAAACCAACATTAAACCACAATAAAACAAGTTATTTAGTTATAATACCAAACTAATCACTACTTAACAGTACTTTAAATATTACCTGAGTATTACACAAATAATATTATAATAATAACAGAATATAACGAAAAAACTACCAGAATATAACCTTAATACTACCAGAATATAACCGTAATATTATTAATACCAGAATACAACGGAAAAACTTCCATAATATAACCTAAGTACTATACATGAATACAACTTAAGTAATACTACATTAATATCAAAACACAACTGAAATACAACCAAAATATAACCTAAATACTACAAGACCAGAATAGAACGTAAGTAATACTATAATATAACCTAAATAATACTATACAAGATCACATAATATTGCTTAAATATTACCATAGTAATCCCGAAATAAAATCTTTCTACCTAACCCCTTATTTTTTTGCATTATTTTGTTTGATGTAGGTTTGTGAACCCAAGGTCCATGAGTTATAGATGTCGGTCATCTGTAGTTAGAGATGCGCTTGATAAGGTCAAGCCTGCTGTATCTGACGAGATGAGGAATGAGCTCAAAATGTTGAATGTTGATGAGATCTTTGCACTTTCACCTTATCCCCAAGACAATGTGGTCACACTTCAAATATTGCAATGTTGGATACATGAAAAAATGATTTTCAGAATGGGAGGGAAAGATCTGAGGATAAATCCTGATGAAGTTGCCCTTTCGATTGGCATGCCAAATAGAGGAGAAGTTCCAAAGTGAAAGAAAGTTTCATTTTGTGGCATTGATGCCCGTCAAATAAAGGCTGATCTGTTGAACTTCGGAACTGGGGAGTCTTCTGCCCCTTTTAATCAATTGTATATAAACTATTTGTTATCAAATTTATTTTTTCTATCTAGTAATTTCAGTGTGTCCAAAAGACCTTACTTCTTTGGAGAGAATGTACATACTTTTGCTTCATTTAATTGGCCCGCTGCGCTATGTGAATATCTTATTGAGCAAATAAATACGGTAGTCATCAAAATAAGGCGAAACCGGCCTCTAGGATATATAAATGGTTTTCTTTTTTTAATAACGGTAAATACATCGTATTAAAGTCAAATGTTATTTATTTCTTTTTCTAAAGCTGAATATGCCCTTTTCTTTCACACAGCTCTGGTTTTATGAGCACACTTCTTTGGTTACTCCTGCCAATCCTGAGGCTAGACCTCGAATGTTGAGGTGGCCAACAACTGTAAGCTTGAGCTCATCCCAACTTGATATAGCTTTTAATAGGCTGACTCCTGATCAGGAAACATATATTTATTTTTAATTTCCAATTAAATTATTATGTTATTTTGAAACTAGTAATGATCAAAGCCTTTCTTTTTGAAATAACTTCCAGGTTCATGATAAATTTTTGGATCTGAGAGAGGATGAGCTCAATCTGTTATCCAATCCAGATGAAGGATTACCTGGTCCAGTTCCAGCGACGCAAGTCTAAGGCAGACCAGAGGCACCTGTATCATTTGATATGGGGCCAGTTGATTCAGAGGACATCGCCCCCGAGCCACTGTATATCACGATGAATAAATGCATGGAATCAATAATTGAGCTGCTTAAAGGCCAAGATAAATAGTTCACTGAATTTCAAGGAACCTTGAATACAATAACTGTTGAGGTGTCAAGTTTGCAGAGGCAAATGTCGGTGCTACAACATAAGTTTGATAAATCTAAAAATATTTCAACTAATAAAAGTGAAGAGATCGGAGTAGATGATCCCCAGCCAGCCTCCCCTCATGGTGGGAGTCCTCATAATTTTCGTCATAGTTGGAGTCCTCATGATTTTGTTTATAGTGAAAGAGAAGTGGGAGCCCAATAGAACATTGATGTTACCCAGCATTCAGGTTCTGTGGGAGAAGAGCGAATCCAACCATCAGCTTTTATGGGAGAAGAAGGAACCCCTGTTGAAGGAGATAAAGTTGATGGCACCCATGAACAGTTCATTGTCAACTTAATACAAAGGGTTAAGGGTGGACAGAGCAGAAGAAAGAAGACAGTGAGTTTGTCTTTCACTGCCTTCGAATTGAAGAGAAGAAAAACAACAAGGGAAGTCGATGAGCCGATGTTACCCTTTAAAGATGCTGCTGTACATATCACCCCCATAGTAGAAGAACAACAAATAACTGAAGAACCAATAATAGACCCTGTAGCAAAGATGTGCCTTCAAATAATTATATTTCCTGCTATAGATATGAACCCCATTGTAGAGGAACAACAAAGAGTTGAAGAGGAAGAAGTAGAAGGATCAGCTGTCCTAACACTAACAACTTTAAGAGATCAGTCAGATGTTGTTAATGTGTTATTTGGAATTTATTTTTTATACATTGTCTTATATCATCTAAATTACCTGTGTATTTCAGATGTAACATAATTTTTTTTGTAGCCTCTTACAGCTGTCCCCTAGATTGACTATCCTGGCAGATCTATGGTATCAGCTGAAACACAGACGGTGATCGATCAAGTCATGTCAAAATACATCAATGAGTGAGTAAATCTGTATCTTTTATAATGCACTTCTTTTGTGATTAAGTGAATGAAAATAACTTCTTTATTATATTTGGAATTTGTACTATTATGCAGGAATGATATTATGTTGCACATGAAAGACATTTTTATAGATCATCAGACAATGATAAAGTTATTGTGCAATGTCATGATTGCAAATGACCATGTTGACACCCAAGCGATGAATTGAGCAATAAGAGGAATGAAAATCCATCCTTTAATAGGCCTTACATTTATGTATCACCACT